AGAGAGAGAGAGAGAGAGAGAGAGAGAGAGAGAGAGAGAGAGAGAGAGAGAGAGAGAGAGAGAGAGAGAGAGAGAGAGTAAATATGTGTCACACACACACACACACACAGTCTGGTACAGTCATGCTTTTTTTGAGTGTATAGTGAATATGACAACACACACACACACACAAAATAAAACGAATAGAAAAATGAAAGCATGATTTTGTGCCTTGTATCCTAACCACGTGCGCAATTTCGCGCCTTAAACCTCCAACCCCCTTTCAACGACTTACGCCGCTTCCCCCCTGCACTCTGACTTTCCCCCTAACTTTTCGTCTTCTCCCTCCCTTCCTCCCTCTGTACTTTCCCCTCTTCTTGTACTTCCCCTTTGTCCTCCTCCTCCCCCTTCTCCTCCTCCAGCTCCATCTCTTTCTGCCACCCTACCGTCCCTCCCTTTTAGGCTTTCGCCTTCCTTTTTCTCCTCCTCCTCGTGTTCCTCTTCCTCTTCCTCTTCCTCTTCCTCGTCCTCCCCTTCATGTGGCTTCGTCTCCCTTCTGCGATCAGAGTGAATAGGAAAGAAAACAAAACCACCATAGTCTCGTCCTCCCCTTCATGCCGCTTCGTCTCCCTTTCACGATCACAGTGAGTAGGAAAGAAAAACAAAACCACCACAGCCTGTTTCGGCCCCCTTTCCCCACGCCATTATCATCTCACCTTGTCCTTGCAAATAGTGCTCCTTACTCCTTATCTTTCATCTTCAATGGCATCTTCAATATCGTTTTCGTCAGTCAGCGTCGTCATGGTAGGGTGCTTGGTCTTTCTCTCTCTCTCTCTCTCTCTCTCTCTCTCTCTCTCTCTCTCTCTCTCTCGCGCGCGCGCGCGCGCGCGCGCGCGCGCGCCCCCACCCACCCACCCACCCACCCACCCACAGTTTGTCTGAACCCCATGAAAAAAGCATGACTGTTCCAGACTGTTTCGTTGGACTTTCACCAACTCATCAGGAGGTTGAACCCCGACAGTCTGCCCATGATGCATTTGCATGCATGCGTGTGTTCGTGCTTCTGCGTGTGTGTGTGGATGGGCGGGCGTTGGTGTGAGTACTTGCTGTGGGCGGCCAAGGATATGCGGGGGGGCCGAACCGCTGAGCCCAAGAGGAGACCGTCCCGCCTGGAACTGGTTTCTCCCCACGCCTGGCAGCCCTAACTTCGGTTGGGCTGCAAACTTCTAATCCGGGCCATTGGCCAAGTGGTACCGGGCCGACGGCCCTGATTGCCCCGCGATATTAGAGTTTTAAGATCGCGGGGCAATCCGGGCCGTTGGGCCGCTAGGACCGTGAACGGCCTGGATCGCCATGCTAGGGCCATCGGGCCGGTAGGTCCGCGGAGGGTCCGGATGCCAAAATTCTCACATTAGCGATTTTAACAAGTGTAGGGATATGTATCGTCAAACAGACTTATGTTGTATTTTGCCACATGAAGGCTGCCTCCCTCTGACGGTAAGTGAGATGCTTCTGGGGTGCCAGGTTTGAGATCCCGCTTACAGGAGTCTTCCTTTTTGTAACGTAGATTGCATCAACGGCCGGAAATGAAGATTATGTCCAAGTGCCACGTGCATGGGGGTCTGATTATATTTACCAATTACCTTTTTAAAATAATTGGTTCCATCACCGTCATCCCATTCCCTTTCCCGCTCATCTTCCTCCCCTTCTCAACACACATACACATTCAATGTTGGTGTGTGGAACCGAGCATGAGTGTTGACGAACCTGCATGAACCTGACAGCAAATGCCTTCTTTGTCTGCCCTTTTGTGCGTATATGTGTGTATGCGTTTGTATTTGTTTTTTTGGTGTGTGCGAGTATGTGTGTGTGTGTGTGTGTGTGTGTCTGTGCGTTTGTATGTGTGTGTGCGTGTGTATATGTGTGTGTTTGTATGTGTGCTCGTGTGTATACGTGTGTGTGTGTGTGTGTGTGTGTGTGTGTGTGTGTGTGTGTGTGTGTGTGTGTGTG